TGACAGCCCACATTTCTACTGGGCCATAACAGGTCTAGGTTGTCAGGCAGTGTCAGTGATGGCTCTCTCTATAGCACATTCTCAAGTTGCGTAAACAGGAAGAGAAACACTCAGTCTTCCATTTCTACCCTTTTACTATCTGACCTTAGACTTGTCCTATTTTTTTTTTTTGTATTATGTATCTAGATCTTTCCATTTTTCCATATTTACAAAGCATTCATTTTTTCTTCCCCTTCATAATCCATTCACACTATAGTCTAGCTCACACACAATCAAAGCAGAAGCCCTTCAGAAGCACTAAACCCAATACTAGGTTGCATAAAAATGATAGTTCCCATATGTCTTTATAAACACCATGCCAAACTGTACTTGTACTGTATTTACATTGTGTTAACATCTACCAAATTACCAAGCCAGCAGGAGAACATCCACCCATTCACATTTCTAAACAAGGCTTATAGTCTGAGTGCGTAGGCATTAAGTTTGCTTTTTTTTTTTTTTTTTTTTTTTAAAAAAAAAGCAACTCATGGAAAAAAAAAATAAAAAAAAAATAGCCTGATCTTGGCCTGGAGTTTCATCTTACTTGCCAGAACTAAAACATCTGCATCCTGTGGTATCAGACTGCTTGGGGACTTGGTTAATTCAGAGGCCGTTAAGTCTTGGATGGAATTACCCCCAGGAGAGCTTCCTGCTCTCCTGATGATTCACATGGTTCAAAAGCAGAGAATTTAAGCTACCATGACTAAATTCTTTGTCCTTTGCACTTCAGTTTATTTTCAAGTGTAAAATTCTCCAAAACATGGAACCCCAGCCATTAACACTATCTGAGGATCTAAAATACTCTGGAAAGTTCCTTTTCTATCCAGGGATATTTCCTGGCTAGCAACCTTCTGATTTTCCTTGGCCAGAATCAGCTAGTAGCTGATCAAACTCTAAGCTTGTAATAAGAGACCCCCACTGTAATTTTTTTTTTTATTATTTATTTTCAGTTGGCAACCAAACATGAAATTCACTTTCTGGGAACTCATAGGAAGTCGAAAGTGTTAAACAGATCAGAGCAATGATCTGTTAAATCTGTCTCTCCCTAACAGCAGGGGAAAGATAGAGACAAAGTAAACTCTGGACCTTCTGCCTAGAATCATGAAAGCTTTTTTGGCTGTAAGAACTGAACTGTAGATTGTATTTTTAGGCAAAAACAACTAGGACCTTCCCTTTCTGAACTATATGGATCTCTATTACTCATATTCGCACACTAATCAGCAAGATTTATCCCAAGATCATTGGGTTATCTCCAGCACTATAGCAAACCAAGTTGCCTAGACTACAAGCAGACGCCGAAATCAGGATGTGAAAAATTATTCAGCTTTCTAGGGTGGGTATTACAGCTTCACTGCGTTACAGATTCAGGAAATTACAGCTCCATCTTTTCTGAGGTCATCTAAGATTGCCTTACAGCAATTTCTGCTAGCCATTTCCTTCTTCCTTGTTGCTGCAGCACATGCATTTGGTCTAAACCCAAGGCAGAGTCAGTACTGTGGAACTGAACAGCTGATGGGCCACACCTGCCTTCAGAAGTCAGAGCTCCTCATCTTGAACTACACAGCCTCCAACCAAGATGGTTGGCTGAGCATAAGCATTAAAATGACTTCAAATATTACCATATACAAGGTTCAGCTTGCAATAAGTCTCTAGGCAGCAGGCTATGTTACTGCAAAAGCTTGAGGACTTCAAGGCTTCAATTGGCTGTCCTGCTCCCAGTGGGGAGGTAGCATTTTTAAGAGGGAGTCACAAAGAACAGTCTTGTACTATCATTCATGCACTTTCACTCTACAGGGGCAGGAAGACAGGTTTTTTTCTAGGTCTGTTGAATTCCTTGGTATCTCCACCATTTCCTGGCCACTTGCAACAGAAGAGGTTCTCCCAGTGTCTCATCCAGTGCAGAGAGACATTTAGTAAGTCTTGAGCAACAAGGCTTATTGGTGCCCACACCAGTCAGGACTAAAACCTGCAGACAACAAGGGGCAAACATGAACTAGACCAGAGGCAGAACATAAGCAGCTAAGTATGCCATATCATAGACTGCATTGCACAACAAGTTGCATGATCTCAGAACAGCGATATACAAGTGCTCCATCATAGAACAGTTAAGGCAGGTTTTGATCACAGACTGATTTTCTTGCTGTTTAACTCAATCACCACAGAGTCTGGCTTGTCTTGCAGTTTGCTGGATAGTGACAGCTTTCAGACTGTTGGCTTAATGTAAATGGAGAGAAAAAAAAAAAAAAAAAGTGAGACCTTAAGCTGTTGTTTAACTGCCCAAAGAATCTGTAAGACCAGTGTGGAAGAGCGATAGTAGGCCCCAATTCTTCAGGTACTGACTCCACTGTGGACTTCTAAAAGTACAAATTCAAATAAATTTGTCAGTAAGTGCTGTAATTAATAGCTATTACATTGTGCTTTGCCTTCCACCATCAATAATAATAAAAGTTGAACTTAATCAGATATGCCATACTACAGCCTTCTGTTTATTCTTCACATTTGAGATACTTGTCAAATCTAGACTAAAAGGAACACAGATCCCTTCTTTCAGGCCAATGAAGTCATGAAGGGTTTTTCAGATGCTTTGTTTTTGCATTACACATGCATTTGGCAGCCAAAACAAGTGAAAAGCTTTGTATTTTGTGCCCTAAGTTTCTAACTACAAAGGGAGTTTCTGGGTGGTCATGTCCATCCCTCTAGGCAGCCATATTTTTACACAGATTTCAGATTATTTCTGCAGGCAAATTCATGCTCAGGTCTTGGATTTCAACCAGGATTTTGTTCTAGTTTTGTATTTGCTGTAGTGATGCTGATACACTCTCACCTTACTGAGGTAGCACCATATATTCACTATATAGGATATGCACAGGCAAGGTATTGTTTGAGATCTTGTACATGAAGAAGGATTTGAGCATATTTCATGTCACTTCAGGATCATAGAAAAAATTACACAGGAAGATGTCCTTTGCTTGCCCCCAGCACATTTCACCTTTCTTCTTTCTCTGAGAAACAGAATCTGATTTTTTTTTTTTTCCTACCACAGGAGCAGGTAGAACACACGTTTTGACAGCTCCAGACATACAGAATAAGAACTACCCACATTTCCAAGAACTGATTCACCCATTCTTCTTTGGAGAAAGCAAGGCCTGAGAATTTGCCTGTGGTCCACAACTTACCCTGGTCACATCTGCACTTAGAGGTCAGGTCTCCTCGGTCACTAGGAAAGCACAGCCTTTGGGGTTAGGTGATCATAGTCTTCACTAGATCCCAAGATTTAAAGAAAATTGATTTTTTTTCTTCCTCCCTGAAGCTCCTCCTGAGTCTATATTTAAGTGCTTAACAGCAAAATTTTGAAAGTGTAATGCATGACATTAATGCAGGATTTCCTAGAATTCATTCCTCTAGAATAGGGATTCTTATAATCAAAATGATATTTAAACTATAGAGATACTGTTCTTGGACACAGCTCAGAGCATTCCTATTCAGGCTAGAATTAAGACCTGTGAGAACTACAAAGTTCTGATAGGCAAGTCCAAGTGCATGTGAATGAATGCAGTAGATGGACCTTGAAGTCAAGGAGTGTCCACTAAGAAACTATAACTTTCAGTTAAAGTAACAGAACATCTTTGATTAGACCAAATTTAACGTGATATTTACCTGTGCATGTTGTGATTAGCACATTTCTTACCAAGAGAGTGACTCCAGTTTTCTTAACACCTTCCCTATGGTCTTGACATGACCCTTTCCATAGATTCTACAACAAACAAAGCAAATGCTCTCTTTACAGAAAACTGGTGGGATCTTTCATCTGAAAAGGGAACAATCAATAGGTCCCAAAATAACAGCGTTATGTACAACACATTACAGAGAGAAAAATTCACCCCTCCTCCTTCCACAAAAGCTTCAGGAAACGTTTAAAACCAGAATTTAATGCTAACAGAAGAATTATTCCACATATTCTCCCCAGGGAAGTCTCACAAGATGAAAGGGTCTCCAAGACAAAAATGTATTCCATCCAGCTGGGTAACAACATTCCTTCATTAACCTTCTCGAGACACTGGGAATTTTGCAGAGCTCTTCTACAAGTTGTGCAATATGTCCCATTACATATCTCTGATCTGCAAAGGCTGTGTGAAAGGGGTGGGTGAAAAAAGGCATGACAGAGACTCCTAAGTTCTGGTCTTGCAATATGGCACTCTTACTTATTTCTAGATTAGCACGTGGAATATCAGGAGCCCCCAGAATAGTGTACCTACTGTACACAGGGCTGGATGAGCACCCAGCTGTATTGTTTACCATTGTACACACACATCCTCACTCAGAGAGGCAGCTGTAAGAGTTATTGTTGTCTCCTCCCTGTCCTCTGTCAGCAGCAGTGGTCAATCCCCAGCAGTCATTCCTAAGCACAGAGAAGACCACTCTCTAAAGCAGCTCACAATCCACGTGACAGAGAAAGCCAACACAATTGCATAAGGTGGCACCACAGTTAAGAGCCAAGAACAGAGCCCAAGTCCTTGTTTGCAATCTAAGCCCTGATCCTCTCCATCTGCATGCTTACAGACCCTAGATAGGAGAAGACTTGGATTTACACGTTTGCACATGAAAGCTTATTTTTTCCCCTCACTGGGGCAAGTCTAACTTGGACAGCTACTGAACAGAACAGATTAAGTAACCACCAAACAACAGAGCAAGAAAGACTCATTACAAACTGTTTGTTTGGTAAAGGCCTTAGCATCTCTGAGTTGAAGGCAAAAAAGAGCAGATCATAAAAAGAAAAGGTCACAGCAGACATGCTTGGCAAGAACTCTACACCAGCTGAGCAGCTTCAACATCTGGGAGCCATGAAAACCTCAGATCATAGGCTCACAGACACGTACCCAACACTATGACATGTACTCAACACTATAAGAGAAGCATTTCAAAGCAAAAGGTAAGGTGGGGACAAGGCTGCATTTACTTACTGGCTACATCCAAACCTGCACTGACAAGAGGAGATCAGGAAACCAAGCCAGTTATCACTCAGCAAGCAGATGTTGAAAACTTCCATCAGAGCATCACCTCCTCCATTAGTGTGTCCAGGTTTGCTGCAATGAGTCATTAGAGGTCATCAGTCAAACCACACCAATGCTGCTGTCCTCAGACCAAAGATCTTCCTCAAGGCTGGGAACAGGAACACTACAACAGAATTTCTGTATTGCCTCAATGAAATAGGAAGAGGAGGCAATATCACCATCACCTTCGTTGGCGAGTTGGACTATGCCCTTTCCTGCTTCTTGCCCTTCAAGAAAAGCATCCTAGAAACAGCTGATATTGATCACAGAGGCATAAGAAAGGGACTAAGACAGTCAAGAGTCCTCTTGAAAGACAGACTGCACTCATCAGAGTGAGAAACAAATATTTTCCTTTCCACACACACAAACACCATGTTAGAAGATACCTTGGAAAGCAGTAAACTTTTATGCTTTATGAGAACTGCCAATACTTCCCAGCCAGACAGACGTGAGTGTGGGGGTGTCAGTCAAACATCAAAACCCCCAAGTATCTTGAATGACAGACAGGCATTTTGGCACACGTGAATTGCCTCTACAGCCAGCTTGAGCAAGGCCTAAGCTTGTGAAAACCAAGAAAACTCCAAGTGGCAGTAAACTATGCTGCTCTGAATTGGGTCAAGCTCTCCTAGCCTGACTACCTCTTATGTCCCTGACTTCAAGCTTTGCCTGCAGCCCATCACAGAAACCTTCCAGCATTCAGTCCATATGCCTGGGAGGAAAGACGACTTTGCAATCAGACGTTACCATAGGCTTCAGACAGGATGGGTGCTGTCCACCACTTGCTCCCCACAGTCTTCCCACAACTCCTCTTGTAGAGGCAGACCATAAATGCGTTAGCAATCTATAGCGTTCTGGCTCAGTTATGGCAAGGAACATAAAAATAGCTATTAAAAAACAACAACAACAAAAAAAAAACAAACAAAAAAACCAAACCAGTCTGCAAATCTCTTATTTCCTCCCTGTTCAGCCCTAGGCTTCTGTTTTGTTTTTGTCGTATTTCCCTCACCCCCCTTCCCCCTTCCTAGGAAATGTGATGAAGGAGGGTGGGGTGGCTCAGGCTATGTACAAATATTCAGACAGTCTCTTAGCAATAAATGGATCTCAGTCAGTTCTATTATCTGTCTGGCTGTGGCTCCTATTATCTGCTGTGAATTGTAGCAGCGATCTCTGGAACAGCATTCAGACACCATCATTACCAACTTCCACACTCTCCAAAGACCACGCTATAACAAGGCTTGCTGGATAATACTTACCATTAAAAGTGGGAACACAAAGGACTCAAGCTATGACTAACACAGTAAAAGGCTCTGCGTGGGGCTTTGCATTCATTGACCCTGGTTTGTTATTAAAGAAAATTCTAGGTTCAAAACCTAGACCTGCGTTTTATACAATACATCAGCTGATTTACACAGAAAGCTGACTTCATCTCACTCTTGCTCTCCTCATCATCCTACAACCTCAGAGCAGCAGGAGAAGCACAGTGCAGGCCTGCCTGGAGCTAGTGGTGAGTATATGGGACTGTAAACCCGGGGTGCTGAGCAACAAGCTCATGCCAAAGAAAGCACCTCAGAGTCCGACTGAGCCTCGGTGCTGAGAGCCTCTGAGGCAGCATTCTCATGGCAAGGATGACTCCTTGCAAGGAAAGGGAATTTTGGGATCCAAACCCACATCTGATTTCCCCGCAATTTTCAAGAGTTCTCTGGTTCATTTGGGGTCCCTCTGCAAAGCCCAAATTGAAATCCAATACCCTCACCCAGGGTAAAATGAGGGTTTTGAGAGCAAGTTGCTTAGGTCTCCCTCCCACAGCCAGGGAAGCAAGGCCACAAACATCAGCTCCGGCAAAGCTCATTTTCTTATAGATTTCTATCCAGTAATGGATTAGTTTTGGCTTCTCAGTAGAGATTTTGCCAAAACCAGGATATTTCAAAAGCCTCCCTCCTGCACAGATTCATTGGTGCCTTTCTCACTTGGCCACCTATTTCACAGCAGGGCTTAATGTCCAACTACTACACCCGTCTGTCAAAATGGCTAAAAAATTAGTCATCAACCTAAAAAGTTATTAGGAAACACTTGATACCATGATTGCTTTCCTGTGGAATGAGGGAAAGGAAGGAGACAGAGAAACCCTCACACTTACAGTCAGGAAGGCTTTTCCAGGGCCACCAGCACAGACACAGGACTCCTGGAGACCACGAGCAACCACCAAGACCACCACCTCAACACAACTGCCCCCCACCCAGCCCATTCAAGATCCAAGAGGGGTTGGCAGACACTACCTTAAATAGAGCCACTACTCCCTGCAGCCATCTCTCAGGGCAGCACCACCCATGGTTAACACAGTCCATGGTTAATACAGTTAACACAGCTGAAAGTCATTTTCTGTTCAGCAATTGCTTACAGGCTCAGCTGAGGAAGGCAGTTGGGGCTTGTCTCTTGTCTACAGGCACTGGGGTGCAGGAGGAGGGCTTGCTGTTGCCCCAGCTGTGCAAGGAACAGAACAGGGATGGAGCTTCATGAGCTCAGGTGAAGCACTGTGGGTGAGGAAAGGAACTCCAAGGTTACTACATACCAACAAAAGAAAAAGATGACTCTTGTTGAAAGGCCAGGCTTTGTATACTTATCCCCACAAGATGTCTATAGGGCAAAGAAAACCATTGCCCTTGTCCCATGTCCTTAGATGGCTTGTGGCTGCCCCAAGTTCTGTCACAGGCCACTCTCCATTTTTGGCATCGCTCCATTTCAGCAGCATGGGAACTCTTGCAATTCTGCTGACACCATGATGCGCAAACCTGAGGTGGTAATGAGGAAAACTGGGTTGGAGAGATGCTGGATGGAGAACAGAGCCATATAATGGAAAGATGTGAAGGTGAAGTAGTTGTGCTGAAAGAGGCATCATGGGATGACAATAACTTCAGCTGTGGAGAAAACAATCACAAAAAGCATGACAGAACATAGTATACTACCTCTACTGGTGGTATAGTACTTCTACTGGTGGCCATTTTCAGTGAATGCACGATCTAACTCAAGCCCAAAGCAGGGGATGAAGGGAGAAGTAAAGAACTAACCTGTTTGTGATCAACAAACAAGACACAGCATCTTCTTGAGCGAGCTTTTGTAGCTTGGTGGAACACAGCCATTGCATCTACCTGCTTAGCCCAGCTCCCCTGCAGCTGAAAAGGCATTTGCTGGGCAGGGGCTGTGCTGGTGAACGCTTCCCTGTGCCCACAGCTGGGCTGGACGCAGTTGGCAGTCAGAAAAAATGCATTTTAAGTGGCCTTCTGGTAGACAGTGCCAAACATTTGCAGAAGATGGGTTTTTTTTTTTTTGGGGGGGGGGGGGGGGGAGAGGGGGTGGGGAAGACTCCCCCCAATTCTGTGGTAATGAAAACATATTTGGTTTGTATATTGTTCAGATGTTTCACAAAAATGCTGATTACTCTCCTGAAGAGAGGAGAAACAGTGATTTTGTGTGTCCCACCCTTCCCCTGCACTACCCTTTGCACTCCTATGACGCAGCATTTATTGAAGTCGGAGCTGTGCCCAGCTCCTTCTGCCTTTCGCACGGCGCATCCTCCCCTCTCTTCCCACTCGTAAAAAAAATAATCATAATAACTTGCAAATTTATTTCAGTGGAAATTTGGAAAAATGCTATTAGGAAAAAAAAACACAACCCTCCAAACATACAGCACACATGAACTCCAGTGCTCCCCCCCCCAAAAAAAAGCTTTTTCCTTTGGTGCATACATTTTTCCAAGGTCACCTCGGAGGCTTTTCCTAGTTGGCCATTAAAACAACACCAAAAAAAAAAAAAAAAAAAGCCTGCCCCAAGAAGCACATGAAGCCATTGCTGTGGCTTGGACCGCTTCCCTGCGTACAGATGCCACGGGAGAAGCAGCAGGGTGGGGGGGTGCTGATATTTTTCCAAGACTTTTTCTCTCACCAGAGGAGGAGGATGAAGATGGAGTGATGAGTGAGGTTCCGTTTGTCCGGCAGCATGAGTCACTCAGCAGCAGTTTCCGATACACACTATTTTTTTTCTTTCCATTACAGAATTTGGTGTCATTTATTCCTTCCTCCTCCTCAAGAAAAAAAAAAGAAAAAATAAATCCCGCTACCGTTATGTCTAATTTATTCTGGGAACTTGTTTGAGGACCCACCAAACTTGGTGGGGGAAGGGTGATTTGAAACACAATCCAAAATATAATCGGCTCTGGAAGCTTTTAAAGAGACTCCTTTAAGGCTGTGCCAAACCTTAAAGAAGGAAAATACTTCCACTAAATCCCTCCCACCATGAATGGGATCCTGTATGTCTGAGGCTTTTTATTGGCTGGGTGATGGGACTTTTTGTTTGTTTGTTTTTGTTTTTTTATATCAAAGATGTTACTCTTTCAAATAGGGTCTGAGTTCTGTGGCTTTTCAGCAGGCACTGAATTCTTGCTCCTGGAGCATGCAGTGATCTGACACAGCCCTCCCCTACAGCGGGTTGGGTTCTCATGCTAAGATCTGGCTCCTGGAGCTTGAGCTGTTGTTTTTTTCTGGAAGCTGTTTTTTCCCCTCTTCACCCTTTAAAAGCAAAACTAAACAGCCTTTTATAAGCCCTTAAAAAGGAAAAAAAAACAAAAACAAAACCAGCAGCCAGCCAGCACCAGGAGGTGAGGCAGGAGAAGGCTCCATCAGTAGGGACATCATCGTCACAGAGCCAAGACAACCCAATCACCAGTTTTATAAGCCATGTGTGGACATGCATGGCCATCTTGACCCTTATTTCCTCAAGTAACCATACTTGATCATGCTTCACATTTCAGATGGGCAAACTTCAGCTGTCATTCTTCTGTGCCTACTCTATGTACATTCTGACACAGGTGGATCAGACTACAAATGGTGGTGTTACCTGTCTAGTCTCTTGCACTGGCAGATAGCAAGGATGACTGCAAGGTTTATCTGTTCATTAGTTTTGATGGAAGAGTATTTATATTAGCTCTGGAAGCACTGTTTTATTTTATTTAGAGCCAAGAGATCCTGCAGCCCTGTAGTTGCCAGATACACTCAGATCTGGAAATGCCTACCACTACTATTTCTTTCTTGCAACTAGTGGCCTTAACTCAGCCCCACAGCCTGTGCAGTACTTAATCTTCATTCTTTATTCTTTCAGATGCTACATTTAACTTCTTCTGCTCTGCCCAAGTCAGTGTAAGCTCCACCATCTGCCCTGGGCAATGAGAGTAAACAGGAAAACTCATCAGCAGGGAAAATGGCTGGGAGCTCAGCTGCAGCAAACTCCACTTTGTCTCAATCCAGGCATATTTAGGATCCTAAAAAAGGACCTTTTTTCATTGACTAGGAGGTCAAAGACCTCCTGGCATCCTGTCTAGAACAGCCTCATTCTTCACATGCCATAAGCAACTTCTCTTCCGCATTTCAACTTTTTCTAGCGCAATCTCACCCATAACAGTAGGGCCCATCCTCGTATTGATGACTCTTCTCATATGGATTGGAGAGCCAGACAAGATCAATGGCACCCTGACAGTGTTGTCTGTGTAATAGGCTTCTCATAGGGGACAGCTGCAGTTCAAGTATTTTATCACTGCGTGTGCTGTTTTCCCTCAAGGATCACGTGCACTTGGACTGCACCAGGAGCTCTGAGCAAATGGCTGCAGCAGAAGGGAGTTTGGCTTCACCAGCCCTTCCTCTCTGGGCGTGAGGTCACTGGAGAATGCGGTGCTTCACCTGCCCGGCTCACCAAGAAGCTCCAAGTGCTGCATGGCCCTGACCAGGCCTTGTGTCATGTGCCATGCTGGTGCCTGACTGCTGTTTTCTGCTTGGCCGTTTGTAAAACATTTGGTCATCCAGGGCTACAAAAGAATCTTGGAGACCCCACGAGAAATACACCCACTCCGTTCAGATTTCCTGTTTACAATTATGTTTTGGGATGTGTTTCCAAGCCAGTTTAATCCTTTTACTCTTCCACATTGATTTTGAATCATTCTAGCTTAAGTATTTTGAGTACCAAGACAAATATTTTTCATGGGTCTCAAACCACAAGTATCTTATTGACCATATTTTTAATTTCATCACAAATAATCCCAAGTCTGGCTTGACATGATCCATCTTCCTTAAGGTACCAGGCGCCTTCTGATTAAGAATCAGCCTCATGAAAGCAGCCATTTAGTGGTATTTCGAGGCAGCTCTGAAAGGCATTGCTTCAGAACTCCTACCTCACAGCAAAAAAGGCTTGTAACCCCATCCAAGAATGCAACTCAAACTCTGGAATAAAACGGTGCTCATCCATCTTTACATTTCTCATGCATTAGGTTTCAGTAGTCAGCAAAACATGATTGGCATTTCCCAAGTGCACGCAAACATTATTTATTAAAGGAAATTGGAGTCCCCTCCCTTAATAGCCTAGAGCCTAATAAAGCACAACCCAAACAAAACCCAGAGTACTCAAGTTTTGCTGAACTCTGAGCACTGCCATGCTTGCCTGCAGGTTTGTAATTCAAAATGCACAATAGAAATTGAATAGCAAATTCTCTAAACACAGGAATAGTGTGGGATTCTCCATAAGGTCTGTTTGCAGCATAATACTTGGTGGATTTTTTTTCCCACTTAACAAAAGTTATGACTCAAAGCTCCAGCGTGACCCAGCAGAATGTGTTTTTTGAATCTGTGTAGGAACCCAATTTAAACATTGTAAGTTGAAAGGGAAGAAAAAAGAAGCCAACCTCACATCAGGTTTTCTGTGCCAAACCTCACCATATAGACATGTGCAATTATGGAACTTCCTGAAATATATTTTTGCTAGAAAGAGAAAAGGATGAAAGTTACATGGGACTCTAAAGAGCCTCAGGAAAGGATATAGAATCATAACCAAATAACCACTGAGTGGGGAAAGAAAACCACAGTGCTCATTTCAGGTGGCAGTTGAAGGCTGAGCTCTCAAATATGTATGATAAAGGAGGTATTGACATGCAACACATGCCAGCATGTGTTTTTCAGTCACTGATTACACTTGGAGGCAGCATGCCTTGCTGCAGATTCGGTGTTACCGCCATGAACCTGTTCGTTCATTCCCAGCAAAAATACCTATATATTTTTTTCTTTCTGTTGTTTTCAGCAGCATGTTCTAATCTCAGCTTCTCTGACCTCCTCCTAAAATGTCAGCACTTATGGTCAACTGCTCAGCATCACCAGAAGGGAGCTGGAAACTCTCACAGTGCCGGCGCCCACATCTCACCCCCTGCAGGGCCCTGGGACTGGCAGGATTTCTTCAGCCCTCAGTTGTGTTCCAATGTACTTTCTCACACAGTTGTTTACATCATTTTCTTGTAAGGATAGGGTTTGTTTTTTTGTGCCCCCCCCCCCCCCCCCCTTCTGATCCTCATGAACCTTAATTATGAATCCAAGGTCATTATCAGTGATGTCAATTATACAATGGCTGAGCAGCTGCTCCCCCTGTTGCTGGCCTAATAGTGCCATGTTGAAGTAGACAGCAGAATTTCTTGTGCCATTGAAAATTTGCTATATCATGAGATTCCTTTCAATTGCAAAAGCAGAAAAACAGCTTGAGTACTTTTCCTCCTACATCTTCATTTCAAGCTGCTTTTACCGTCCTCAGAACATCCTTCAGCATCTCCTGCCTTAAAAATATAACCCAAAGGGAATAAAAGGGAATTTAACAAAGAACAGTTTTTCCCAGATGGTACCCAAAGACTTCTGCAAACACAAAGGTAGGAACTGCTATAAAATAAACTCTAATGGAGATTTGTGGGAGTGTAAGGCATATATCCATTCACATGTTAGGAATTGCTGTATTCAGTGCTGAAATACAAGTGCTTCGGGGCAAGAACTCAGCTTGACAGTGCAGAGCAGCAACAGATAATGTTGGAGTACAGAAAGCAGGGTGATATTTAGCATGCAACCGAAAGGGCCCTTTCTTCACCTTGATGCATTTTATAACAGTTTAGATAACCGAGGTGAGGCAGCCCAACAGCAAACTATCACAGTTATCAGCAATTTCCTCTTCTGTGCACGGGGTGAGGAGTGTGGTGTGCCACATCCCACCACGTAGGAAGTGCTAACAAGCGCTGACTTGTTCATGGCAGGCACCGTATAGCTAGCAAATACCAAGAGACCCAGCTCTTCCCCTTTCGATCCTTCACTTGTTTCTCTTCCTTCCTCATCACAGAAGATGCAAGCAGGTGGTTGAATTCACACGGGGTGACCACCTCTGTGCCTTCCTTAGCATCACATCACACGCAAGCACTGCTGGGAAATGCCCATTTGTCAGATTTATGGTTTGCGGAGGGATCTGCTTCAGTGCCTCTTGTATATAAAGCAACACAAGCGTGGTGTTGTACTGAGAAACAATGGTGGTACATTGAATGCTCATAAATATATCTCTCTTCTACTGAAAAACAACTTGCTACCTCTTCCTCCCAACCTCTTCCCATGCCCAATTTCTACCTTGCAAAACTCCTCTGTGATCTGGGAGAGAAGTTGGGCTTCTCTTTATTACTATTCCCAGCAAGGAAAACTGATGGTCCCATTTATCATCTTGTTGATGCTTGCACAATCCTATTGCTGTCCCCGTCTTTGCTGTGCCTCCTCTACTGTACTAATGAGGATAGAAATCAAATTAAAAAAGCTTGCTTTTGTCAGTGCAGCCAGCAGCTATGACTCAGAACACAGGGAGCCTGCAGATTTGGTAAGACGGAGCTTCTCCCCGCTGTCCCCCTCCTCTTCGTTAAAAATAGTCATGTTAGAGTACAAAACTTCAAAGAATGTGGCTCTAAGTTTGGGGATTTGTGCTGCAGCCACCTTTTTGGTGACTCTGGTGACAGATGAAGTTCTTGGTACTGCCGGTTTTGCATGGTCTAAACATTTCCAAAAGCTTAAGCACTTCTCAGGGTTTGCACATCTGGGTTTTAACCATGCAAGATCCAGAACTCTCCATGTCTTCAGACTTTGAGAACTTCCTGCTTGGGCCAGGGGGATGCTGTCAAAATAGGCTTCTTTACTGAGTGACTCAGTGCTGCTTTCAGACCCTGCCAGAAACCAAGTACAGAGGCATGAGGAAAACAAACAGAAGTTACTGAAGCATTTCAGAGTTTTCAGAAAAGTTTGGTTCAACTTTAATTCCAGTAAAGCTCAGAGAAGGATGAAGCAGGAAAATATTTCCTAACCAAATTTCCCATGCAAAGGCTCTTAGAAGACAAGCATGTGTGAATTTTACAACAGTTCTGCATTCCTGGTCAGGACCTGCGAGGCTCTGCATCCAGACAGACGAAGGGAAGAATGATGCACACACACAGAACGCGTGGAAAAACACCCTGTAGATACCAGCTCCAGTTTTGCCCTCATATCTGTTCCTTCAGCAAGCAGGCTTCCCTGGAACTGCAGGTTTTTCAGATGAAAATTCAGCTTGTTTTTTTTTGTTTTTAAATTTTAAGTATTATAAACACTTTACAGAAGAACCTGGCAGACACTGAGGGCTGCACACACACAAACACATTTGCTGGGAACTCTGCTCCAGGCATGCTCAGCTTGGTTCTGGCCAGCTTCTCGTATAATTCAAATAGTAGAATGCCAGTTTTTATACCAGTTGTGAAAAGAAAACAGCCCAATTGTATTTAAGAGTGAAAACCAAAACTGAATTATCCCTGAGTTAGGTAAAAAAAAATTAAAAATCAAACCCCAGAGGCATGCTCACAAATCAGTCACATGTCAGAGCTGTCTTGGATTCTGGTCTGTATTCACGCACTCCATCATAGGTTGGTTGTCATTAATGTCAGTTTAACAATGGAGAAAAAGGAAAACCATCTGATATATTGCCAGCTTCTTTCCTCTGCCTCCTCCTGGAAAGGGTAGCATGGCTCAAAGCAGGGCAGCAAAGCAATAATAGTCACTCCCAAGGGGTAGAAGTATGACCAAAATGTCGATATGGCACGTAAGACATTAATTTCACCTAATCAGGACCACAGAGCACCAAAATATCTGCTTGAGGATGATACAGTTGTTTTGTAACACCACTGAACAGCACAGGGAAGCTCAAGTCCCGGAGAGGACTGCTACAATGCCGTTATGCTCTGATACGGTTTCATTTTGAGGTAGTCCTGTGTGGAGCCAGGAGTTGGATTCGATGACCCCTGTGAGGGATTTCCATCGCAGGTACTCTATGAATCTACTTTAACCTTTTACAGTTTCTTTTCATGGGGTTTGTGATGCTGCGATTTGAAATAACTCAGCTTACTATTTATTCTTAAATCATGAATTTCTTACACACGTACACACAAGCTTGAGCCCATCTTAACGGGAACTCCCCAGTCTTCAAAATTATCAAGAAAGCCACAAAACCAAACCTGGAGCTCTAGCTTGCAAAAACCCCACGAGATGGCTCTGTGGATGGGTGCAGCTTTGGGGGCACCCCGGGGTCCAGACACCTCCTCCCACCGACACCACAGCATGAAGAGGCACACACAGCTGCAGAGGAAGGGTGGCCACATCCCCCCAGGTTTATTATCTTGATCAATAGTCAAGCTGCAGGTTGGTTAATTCTGGCAGATGGTAACCAGTGATAACGTATCTTAACTGCAAGCCGATGTCTTCAGGCACAGCTGTGCACAGTTTCCCTTAACTTCTGCATACAGCAGGCCTATGCTGTTTTGTTCCATCGTCTCTGTTACTTGGAGCAGAAGCATTGCTTCCCTCCTGTTTTAAAAAATAAAAGTTTCCCATAATTCAAACTTAATAAAGTTAATGAAGGGACTTTTATGGTCCCTGAAAAATCCACCTTATGTGCAAAGTTCAAGGGCTTACAGATGTAAGGGAATGGTTCGGCTGTCATCTTTCTCAAGCAGACCAAGAAGAGTTAGCTCCAGCTTTTGATACAAAATAGAAGTTCCGAATTACCCTTCCACCAACTTACTAGCACAGAAAGACCAATTTAGGCAGCTTCCTACAGACTATGGAACCCAATGCAAACAGGCAACAAAATCACGCTGGTTCTTCAGGCATTATTCCGACCCAGCCATAAAGTAGCAACCACAAGTTTTGGCTGGTGCTTTGAAGATCACACTTCTCTTATCAAACTCACAGGAGATCCAGAAGACAACTTCAATGCGTTCTCCCAATTAAACAGCTTGTTTGCATCTAATGTGGTGTTTATTGACTCCTGAGCCTGTATTGATTCTGAATAGGCTACAGCTAAGGTTTAGTAAATGCCTTGGAGATAAATCAGCATGCAGGTAATAAACTCCAGATCGCATAAGCAAACATTACTTAATTATATTCCTATTAATATATTGAGTCTGTAATGAATTTTTGAGGCATTTAATTATCAATTTGACAAGATAATCTAGGGGTAGTTAATGATGGACCAGTAAATTGTTAAAAAGAAAAACCTGCGGATGCTTAATAAGTCTCCTAACTGACAGCGAATTAACTTGCGTTAGCTGTCTGGTTAAATAGACAGCAGTTAATTACGGAGCGCTTAAACAGTCTCACAATTTTAATATATAACTCTCTTTGCTGTGTGGTAACCATGCAGCTGGAGACATGGGCTTTTCTCCATGTTTCTCCCTCAGACAGCTGAATTACTCGCTGTTGCAACCACTGACTTCAGTGAGATTCAGCAGTTGGGACTTTATTATTTGCAAATGCAACGGACCCTCCCTCTCTTTAGTGATCAGAACTTGCTGCATTCTGACCCTCTGGGAAATTTTCTGCTCATAGGAATGGTGACACTTTGGAAATGGAAGCGATCACCATAGAGCTCCATGTAGCCTCAGGTCAGGCAGAAACAGCCTGGCCAGCCGTGGATGTCTGAACATGGCTATCGACATCCTCATGTATATCCAAGAAATGCTGCACCCTGCGCCGATGTGCAGCTCCTTCTTTGGATAAAATCTGACACTTCACTGCTTCAGCACTGACTCATACAAAGATGATCACTTGCCATAGATTTTTGGGAATGTTAAAAAGGGAAAGAAGAAAAAAAAAAAAAGGCAAACGAGCCAGCAAAGGCTGTACAGTTCATTACAGAGGTTAGTGAGCAAGGGTAACAAGCAGTAATAGCTGTGCCACCTTCTCTAGGAATAGCCCCGAGCTGCGCTGAGGAAGCACTCAGCGTCCCTAAGCTGAGGAAGTCTTGGCAATGGTTGGTTTGAAATGTAAAACACTGCTGATAATCCCGGGTTGAGCATGAATAAAACATTGTAGATCCTTAATCAGCTGGAGAAAACACATGCAGATCCTCTAAGAAAAAATTCATTTCAGGAAGTGGAAGCGATGCTGTTTGACTCCAGGAGTTCAGAGGCCCCAAGTCATCAGTCTCTCCTATCATTAGCATAAAGAGAAATTTTCCAGTGCCGGTTCTTTTAATTTATTTACTTTGGGGAGCCGTTAAGGATCAAGCCTTTTTCCCCTCAGTAATTATGCAGCGTAAAAGCCCTCTCTCAAAAAATTTATAAAAACATTCATGCAATAAGACAAATCCAGGAAGAAGGGCCATCAAAAATTCACCAAATGCTATTAGACTGGAAAGCTAAAGCAGGGTCCCTCACTCACAGACATTTGCATGACAGGGCAATGACAACAGCAGTGTTATTCTGCTCTTAAAGCCATTAGCAGCAGTGGCAGTGTTAAGTAGCAGGGTTAGCAGTCAGAATCCTTTTGTTATGATCTGGTACCTGATCTAGTGGGTGACAACCCTGCCCACGACAAGAGGCTGGAACTAGATGATCTTTGCGGTCCTTTCCAAAACAAGCCATTCTATGATTCTGTGATCACAGTCTCATTAAAGTAAGAATTCAGGGAGACAGGTCCTCAGTCTGGGAACGAATACATCACCATAAGCACTGGAGTTTGTGTCCCCAGCTTCAGTCATGTCATGCTCTCCAGAGTTAGGCCAGCAGGGTTCTTGAAAAGCACAGTCCTTAGGCATCCTTCTACAGCTTCACCCAAGTGAGAGGAAGAGGTTTCTGCCACCTCTGCTGTGCCAGCTGGGCTGACAGCAGCTTCAACATCAGAGGTGGCCCTTCTGGTCACAGCAGACACCACTACCTTCAGCTCAAGCAGATGGAGTCTAAGAGGGGACCATGAGCCCAGCTGCAGTAGGTATATGGCAAAGTTCAGCATCCCTGTGGGTCTGGGGCTGCTTTTGCATCAAGCACTGCTTAACACTTCCAGCAGATCTGTTCTGCCTAACAAAGGCAAGAAAAGCCGTGAAGCAACCTCACCACCTCCAAAGTATTGCTTGCCCCAGGTTTATCACTGACATAGAGGGAGGGAATACATCTTCAAACACAGGTGGTGCCACCCCTTGCCCTCTCCCCCAATCTCCTCCAGACTAATCCCTTTTTATATCAACCTCTGAGCAATGGGCTCCCAACTAGAGGCACCTTGTTACTGGTTGCATACTCATCACACCATTCCCCCAACAGGGCACCAGGGGAAGCCAGGCTGAGTTTAACCCCTTACTTACTGAAAGAGGAGGCAGTGCTGTCCCTGTGCCAACACCGAGCGAGCAGGGCACTGCTCTGGACAATGCTCACTCTTGCAGTGCCCAGTTGTTTTAGGCATGCCTTTGAGGAAGGATTTTGGCAGAAATGTCAGATGCACCTCCAGCTCCACATGCAAAGCATCACACACATCACACATCACCAATGTGCAGCAGCATTTTTCCAAAGACACTTTTGGCCCCAGCAACCCTTCGGATGTGTAGGAGCAGCCCTCACCTCTCCTCCCCACTGAGGCCGAGTGCTGCAGGCTCTGCACATCCCTCTCCTTTTGCACTGACGGTTGCCGGGGTTTCTCTTTGGCTGCTGTTTTTGGGCCCAGCTGCAGGAGGGCTCTGCTCCAACACAGGCTCAGCTGGGCTAGCACAATGGGAAAACAAAAGCCCTCTCGCTTAGGAGCTGAGCCTTTTCAGCCCCGTTTCCTTTTCCGATGCTTTCATTTCCTCCGAGCAAAACGCTGCTGAAAGGAGGGCAGTGTGGCCGTAGCGGCTGCAGCGGGCACAGGGGCTCGGGTGTCGTTTCATCTGGGTCAGTGATTTCAAAGGGGCCTTCGCTCAGCTCCTCCCTTAGAAATCATCTCTCTTCTAAGGAGGCTTTCAAAGATGATAAGGTGCGAATTGAGCCCGCTTTTTTTTTTTTTTTTGGCATTTGTTCCTCAATCCTCAAAGCACCCGGAAACCTGAGAAAGCACCTGGGGAAGTCAGAAGGACCCAAGCTATCCGCTCGTCCGTTCTTAGGGTATAGGGTGGGATAGGGGGAGAAGGGGACGAGGGCGGTATTACTGCCACTGCAAATGGCCGCAGGGCGGCGAGGCGAGGCGGAGGAGCGGCCCCGGAGCCCCGGCCGTGCACCTGCTCCAGCCCCGGCGCAGCAGCAGAGGGCGCTCGGGGAGCGGCGGTGCGGCATCCCCGGGCAGCGCGGGAAGGGGTCACGGTGCAGAGTAGGGCTGCCGGACCTCGGCGTCCACCGAGGTTGTCCCAGTCTTTCTCCAGGCTGCTGACAACTGGACGCCCTCCAGGTGCCTTCATGCTGCGGTGTTGTCGCCACAAAGCGCTGCCTGTGTCCTGCTCGTTGTCCCGTGCATTGGCACTGACAGAGCAGGGAATGGCACCGAATGCCATCTCCAGGTCAGCGTGCTGTCCCTATGCAGGACCCTATGCACTCCTAGGCTGTGCTTCATTTCCACCTTGTCTCACCTGGCTCAGCTGGAGAGATACAGCTTTGAAGGCAGTGTTTTCCCCTGTTTCTGCCTAGACAGAATATTTTACACATGCTTTTATAATGGGGGATGAATTAGGGGCAAAGGGAAGGTGTACTTGGGTGGAAAAACCCACGGAAGTCCAATGTAATGGCATCAGGCATAGAAGTAAGTGGTGGGGTTCTGTGGACAGCCCAGCCAACATCTCCTGAGGCACGGCCTGCTCTGGAAGAGGAGAGGGATGGAAACAACACATCTCTGAGGAAGAAGGCCAGCCATGCAACCGCTTTCTTCCCCTCTCCCATCCAGCACCACACTGACTTTCGTCCTGCAGTCTGCTCCACCAACAGCTGGTATGGGTTGTGGAAGGTTTTGGGAGATGCAGCTCCCTCCCCCACTCTTTGGCTACCTCTTCTGGGCAGACAACGGTGGGTCCCAGTTCTGGGGGACCCACAGCCTGCCTTCCACCCCCCTCCAGATTCCAGAGACCTCAGTGCAGTCAGCAAACAACTTTGCTTTCTTTCAAGTTGCACCAGGTGATGTGGGCTAAGCCGTTTGTGCTTGTCGCCCTCCTCAGCCCACCTCACTGCACACAGAGAAACCAGCCACCTCTTTCCAACTAGAGCACCTCAATGTAGAAAGGCAACTCATGGTGATGGGGTGGCCAGAAATGTGACACACGGCTCACGGGGACAGCGAAGAGGTTGGGACGCTCAGGTCTATGAGTGATAGCAGCACCCTGTCCCGCCACACACAAGGGCTGCAACCCAACCGAAAGGCCCTTCCTCAGAGCCCCTCTGACCACGAGTGCAGGAGCAGCACGCCTCTGGAAGCAACTGGTTTGCTCCAGTAGCCTCTTTACAAGCACCGAGGGACAGCTCCGCGGGTATCGCTGTGTTTTTAAAAGGCCACTTATAAGCTTTAATGCTGCGCTGGGGGAGAGGGTAGGGAGAAGGGGGGTCAGGGAGGGTGGCTGCGTTGACTGCTTAGGACTTAAAGCTGTAAACCTCTTCTTCCCTCGCTCGTTGCTGGGACATTTTTATTGGCGAGATGAAGGGAGACAGAGCACAGCTCCACAACTTGCTCTTCTTCTAGAGGTTAATGACCCAGTTAGCAGCTCTTGGCTGCATTTCCCGACATTTTGCAGACATCAAGACCCGTCTCCCTGCCAAGTACATTCTGTTCCCTGGAGCTCGGCCAATGCATCTCAGATTACTATGTAATGCGACAAAGAGGGAGAGCTGGAGGTGAGGGTGGGGGCTGGAGGGGAGATACGGGAGCCATTGGGGAGGGGGCAGGGAGAGGGTGGGAGAAGGGGAAGCACCACTTCTAAATTTAACATCTGAGATGGAAATGAAGCTCCCAAGGTGCTTATTTGCTGGAAAAAAACGTGAATCCCAGGATAAATTGGAGTGATGCTTCTGGGAAACAGATGCAATCAGCAAATAATTTCCCCCTAGGGACCACGCAGGCCTGCGCTTCCCGGTTCTGCTGACAGTCATGACTCTGCTTCTGATGCCCTTGTGCCCAGGACAAATACTGCTTGGGACCTGGGGCTGCTTTCCTGAATCAAAGTCCAATATCCCAAAAGGAATAGGGGTTTAACCAGGAAAGTGGGGAGGGAGGAGAGAGAAGAAGTTCCTGTGGATCTTTTAGTCATCTTTTTGTACACAGAGCAATAGATACTATTCAGAGGCACTGTTCTTGCAGATCTCAGCCAGGAGATTCCATCACTTTCACAGTAAAGGGAGGAAACTCCCACCTTATGGAAGGCTCTGGTGGCAGGGATTGAGCGTGCAGAGTGGCTGAGCTAACAAACCTATCAGCAGCAGGTGTCTGCCACTACTGGAGGCTGGCAGGGTCAGAGACTCCATACTCACCCACAAGCCTTTCCCAGTGAGCAGCGTATGTCCTCTCCTGAACCATGCTGGGTCTTCTCCTGTGGCTCTGCCAAGACCCTTTTTGCACATCTCATCTCTCCTTCCCTCTCCTGTGCCATGTTTCTGAGAGGGAAAAAAAAAAAAACAAAAACCCCATAATTTTTTCCTGGATAGTTCTGAACCAGAAGCCTCTAAAATTTGATGAGCATCAGCGGTTGGGGTCCTGACTTGTGCGGAACTCCAGCAACCCATCCTCTTCCTGGGCTGGCATCTCCATCACAGTTCTCCCATCCTACCTAGGTGCAGTAGCTCCCACTGTTTCAGCTCTGTTCTTTGCTTACACCTGCTGTGGGAACCTTCCAGACAGACCTGCAGCTCTGTCACATCCTCAGCTCTTATGTAGTGTCCTAATGGGCTGCAAGCCTTTCCCTTCACTCACATACAGCTGTGCCAAGTCTCACCCTATATGAAGGTGCTGGGTGAGAGCCAGGTTGCATGGCAGCAGCTTAGGGCTCTCACTCTGCTCCCACCAGCTCAACAGCCCTCTTCGTGCAATCCCAGGACGCTGTCTCATGTACTGCAAGAACAGAAATGTGAGAGGTCTGGCTCAACAGGACTGTTTATCTACCCAGAGTGGAGCCCTCCCTCCTCTTCAGGAATTATTTCCTTGAAAGACAAGAAGCAACGCAAAACTCCCTCTTGCTCAGCTCCATCTGCTGCGTGGGGGCTGGGTGCTGAGAGGCCACGGTTGCTCATTGCACTTGCCAGACGTGGCATTAGGAACATTTTTCACCACTTGCAGCCCAAGGAAGGGATGAGTTTACCTGCACCAAGAGCTGCTCAGGGGAAAAAAAAAAAAAAAAAAAAAGTAAAAAAAAAAAAAAAAAAAAAAAAAAAGTGTGCTTTTGTGGAAAGGAGCTTCCTCAGAAACCACAGTAAATGCCAGCATCTAAAAATCTGGCACTGCTTTGCTACACTGCTGCGCATCTATCCTCAAGAGCAGCCCCACAGAGAGTCATCAGGGGCAAAGCATCCTCTAAAGCACAAGCCTAGGCTAACCACAAATATGCAACCCCTTCCAACTTCTAAGCCACATGTCAGCCTCCTCTGGAGGATGAGAAGGTCTGGCCACAGTCCTGGGATGCAGGACAGCAGGGAGGAGGGACAGGTTGAAGGAAGGAGCAACTCCTCCCCAAGGACTTCCATTGCAAGAGGAGCTACTTAGAGGCCCATATGAAACCTCAGTTTTCCAGCAAAGCCAGCCTCATCCTCTTCATGTGGCTCACATGCATCCACAGCTGACTCCATGCTATGAAGTGAACCTACAACGGAGCACGCTGCGTTAGATGCTGCACAAACACAACCTGGCCCAAAGCACACACCATTTTGCTGCACAGCAGAGTTGCTTGCAACTGGAACTGGCTTCAGTCAACAGAGAAGGCACACATGATGATGTGTAAATGGGGATAAATTGCCAGAGGCATCTCAGCATCTGGTACAATGATGAGAAGACTTAACTTGAGACAATTACAATTTAAACATTGCCACTATTACCAATGCCAAAAAACAAGCGTTCACCCTTTATTAGAGTAAATAAGAGCAAGTACGTGACTCCTAAGTTCACTTTTTCATCATGGCCAAGATGCATACACACAGTGAAACATTCTAGCCTTACACAGGGAGCAGGTTGAGTTAGGCATGAGTCCCTCACTGTTCATCATCATTTCAAAAGCTGAGACTTTCTGTGGTTTTAGAAGGCCTCATTCATCAGCTGCCTGCTGAGTTTATCAGGTCTCGGAAACCACTGGGCAGCTTTTGTATAACAGCTACAACCACTGAGGCTGACTTCTCACTGGATAGCACAACCCCCAGGTGCACTCACCAGAGGAAGAAGTAACCCAGCTGAAGATCAGTTTATTAGTACAGTGTGGGCAGGATAGGAAGTAATAAGCTTATCAAGGAAGATTTAACTTTGGCACTGCCTCTAAATGTCTCAACTAATGAGCACATTTTAAGCACTGAAATGATTGCTTGAGAGACTGTGGAATCTGGAGCCTAGCGCTGCTTTCAAAAACAGAAGAGAAGCAAACATCTGCTGGGACTAATTTGGGTCCAGTTGGGCCCATCAGGTTGGATGTTAGGAAAAAAATCTCTGCAAGAGTGGTGAGGCACTGGCACAGGCTGCCGGTGGGGAAGGCGAGGTCACCATCCCTGGAGGTGTTTAAGAAACGTGGAGATGTGGCACTGAGGAATGTGGTCTTGTGGGCAATACTGGTGGTAGGAGGATGGTTGAATCGTATGATCCCAGAGGTCTTTCCCAACTTCAGTGATTCTATGATCCAGTGGCAGGGCACGGGACAGATAACCTCTCACTACGTATTGACCTTTCCCATCCTGATTCCCAGGTGTGAGATGGTTCAACTTTCCATTGCCACACACTGTCCTCTCCCTACGTGTTCACAAGAAGTGGGCACACTTGTTGGACTTGGTGCTGAGCCAAGCTGGCTTGGCTTACAGAGCCATTTTTTCCTTCAACGTAAGATATGTTTTGAGATATACATAAATGTATAGAATACCAGAGAATATTTATTAGGGTTGAAATTAACATTGATTGGTTTGATTTTTGCTGATTAGGTAATTATGAGAACTAAAGGGGTAATTTTCAATGAGGAAATGAAACAATCATCCAAGCTAGACTAGTCCTGAGTTTCTAATTTGAGCAGGAGGAAAAAAAAAAAGCTATGAGTAAAGATCAAAGAGCCATTCCTGTGCCACTTCGTCTCCCTCTAGGCAAGCAGCCACAGGGCTGAGACTTTTTCTAGCGTGCCATCTCAGCTTTCTGCATATGTACAGCACCTTCTAAGAGTGTGTGAGGAGAAGGAAAAGGGTTAGCCCATGCACTCAACACAAGGAGCAGTTCTTGGCTTACTTCATGCCCAGAGGAGGAAAAAGGCTTCCCTGCCTCTCTCCACCTCACCAGAAGCAGGGCCAGACCTGTCAGGTCACTGACAGCTGAACACAGCTCTCACAGGCGAGCCTTGCCCCGCTCCCTCCCAAGTTTCCTCTCCCTGGAGCTGTCTCAGAACACATCTGCAGCCCATCAGGGCCTCTCCCCCCCAAGGTGACCCCATGTGCCAGACCTGTTTGGGACAACTCCAGGGCTCACATCTCAGCACTCCAGGATTTCTTTCTCAACACGTGAACAGGCTGCCAAATGCAAACCTCAGCTTGACACTCTGTGCTCTGCAACTGCAACTCTTTGCTGGGTTTTTATATGGCTTGGGCATCCCTACAAGTGCTCTGTTCCCCTGTTCCCACCTGTGTTATAAGCCTCATAATGGAAACCAGGATGAAGGGAGGCTCTGGAAAGTCAGCTACTATCAATCCCTTAAAAATAAAACAAACAAAGGTCTGTTTTCAGCTGCTGTGGCATGAAGGGAGCTTAGTCCCCCTGGCCCCTACAGGATGTGGCTGAGATATATCAGGGAAGAGCAGCTGTAAGCATGGACGTGCTTAAAATTAGCTCAAAGAGAAGGTTTCCTCCGTTTATTTATTTATTTGTTCGTTAAAAGGGCCCTTCTTATTAGATGCAAATTCAGCACATAAGCTTCAAGCCAGTACAAAAGCGCTGCTAATGTTGTTCAATTACACCGAGGTGGAAATCACAGCGCTTTGTGTTTGAACTTCTGCTTACTTTCTAGGTGCACTTGGGATGGAGGCTGTAAAGATGTGGTGATTCTTTGAATGCCTGGTGCAGGAATGTCTCTGGAAGAGTCATAATAAATGCAGCAGCTTCAGCTGAAGACTGGTGCATCTTTTATTTAGTGTTATAGGCTATTCAGGAAGGAATAATGGAAAATGGGACTGTGACAAACTTATTTCCTTTCAGATATACACCACTCCCTCCAACATGTTTGGCATTATACATAATAGCATTACCTGCTTTTATCTGATTGCCAGTTCTTTCCTGCCATCCATCTTTCCAGCTCTCTGGAAGCTTTGGGACCCCCTTGCCAACTTCATCCAAACTGGAAGGCAAGGGAGAGGTATTAAAGATATGAGTTTCCTGCACATTTTGTCAGAGTAAAATAGTAGGGTCTTCTGCAGGCAAAGGACAGCAGAGTGAATTCACTCCTTCTTAGACAGCAAAGAATCCACATATGGCACAAATTCGGAGGAAAGCAGGCTTGATTGCTTCTGCTGCTCAGGGGACCAGTTGTTAATTATAGAGCTCTCAAAAAAACCCTTGGTTTCATCTCCTCTGTTTGGCTTATGCTACAGGGATTGAAATGGGAGTACCTATACAGACATTTGAAGTAATGAAAAAGCCCACAACAACCCTTTGTGGAAAGACAAAGCAACACTTCTTGTAATGTACCTACTCTATGCCACGTATCCGTCTCAAAAAAAGTATCCTTGTATTTCTTTGTGTTTATTCCTGGAATAGCCCTAAAAGGACAACAGTATCTGCCTTCAAATCCTTCCTGACATCTCACTTTGTAGTGACCCCCAGCCACTTGAGAGCCAGTTTCCTGAGGCTGCTGCTTTGCGCTGACTTGTTGCTCTCACAGCTGCCTTCTCCTGCTGTCTTTTATTTCCTATTGTGCTTATCATTTTTCTTTGAGGTGTGGATTTGTCCTCACCATTGCCATAAAGTTCTGGGCAGGGCTGGGGCAGCTGGCTTCCACTGCGGCATGAAGAGACAATTGATGAAGCAGGCAATTAAGCAGAAACAACAGTTAGTGTGGCTTCATAGCTGGAAATCAGCCCTACACCCAGCCATGCAGCTGTGCAATATAGCGTGGTGTAGTCTAGCACAGTCATGCAGTAGTCTTTGTCTACTGAGACTAGAGTGATTCGGACCCACATTTTGGTTAGTACAAGCATGAGAGGCTATGGACTATGGCTGTGTGCTACCAAAGCATAAATAATGGGTGTGCTGAAGCACTGACTCTGGCTGCTCTCTTCTACCTAGAGCCAATCTTGATACTCAGGGTCCAGGAGCAAAGTTTCCAGGCTGCAGCTTCAATTACTTTCTGAGCTGCCAAGTCAATGGGATGTACATGAAAGTGGGACCCTAAGGACAGTCCTCCGTTGAGAGTGGGAACTATTTATACTCCGCACAAGTCCTTCCCTTGAGACAGCAACCCTGGCCAGGGCTAAAGCCTGCTGGAGCTACCTGTCTGCTGTACCTTTATCCTCTTTGCCAGGAAAGTACATCAGAGAGCAGGAACTCAAGCAGCTCACAGTACCACTGGCTTCAAAAAAAAAAAAAGCATCCCTCTGCCCCATATTGCTCATCCTTCTGCTCTGATGGCATCAGTGCTGCTTTGAACAGCGCTGCGAATAGTGCTGATTGCGGAGCAGCAGCAGGAAGATGGGAATCATTACCGAGACTCAGCCAAAGCCCTCTAATTAATTAGTTAGAAAAGCATCTCAGTGTTATTAGAGAGGCCTCAGCAGAGGAAGCGACACCTCCGTTCTTGCAGACTCACCTTCCGCCAGAGCTGCTGCTATGATGTTTGACATTGGGCTGGTGTAAACAGAAACTGGAAGTCGGTGCAGCAGGGAAAGGAGCAGCTTGCACGCTCTGCCCTTGGCCAGTGCTGTACTGCATGCCGGGAGGGTTCCGTGCAGACATCAGATCCTGGAAATGACTCAGGTAGGGAGCATTGCTACTCGACCATGAAGTCCCTGATTAAAAGCAAGCAGTTTTCCCAGAAATCCGGTTTTCCAGGTGTTTGTGATTGTGAACAGCCAAGCATACACAAAAATGTCACCTAAGGCACTAGGAACTGGTGTCTCCTGGGATCCTGAAATATGCAGGATGCTGCCGTCCCTTGTAAACGTGCACAGGATGGCTGCACAGAGAACTGGGCCATGCTCAGAGCTGCATATTCATGGCATGCAAATGTTAAGCTACTTGCAAACTCCCACAGCTGTCATCAGCACACACTATCATGGCCACAAGCCCCAGAGATGGAATAATATCCTATGGGGAACAGGAGGATGCTGCGAAATGTACATGGTGCCGAAAATAAGAGCATCAAAAGGAAAATGGAAACACAAGACTAAAATAGCTAGGACTGCTTTAAGGCCTCTTAGTTTCCTTTGGGGAAGGAGGCCAGGCAATGTGGCTAGTACTTGGGGCAAGGAGGCAGGAGGCCTGGCTCTCCCACTGACCTGCTCTCATACCTTTGGCAACCCTCTTTCTTCCCATGTGCTAATTTTGCCCTTTTCCCACTTGGTACTGTCAGCCTCTAGGAATTCATAAGACTTGAGTTGGGCCTCCAAACATCATTATTTCGGCTTAAAAAGAGTTATAAGGCTATACATATGAATTATGAGCCTTTTTGAATGACCTTGTGGTTTCCGTCTCTTTAAGGGATCATATTTCCGACTGAGTGGGTCAGATTTTTTTATGGTGATGATTATTTTACATGAAAGCCAAGAGTTCCACATAAACACAGTGCTCTGGCAGCTTGCACTGGCAGCACTGCCCACTCTCCATGTGTCCTACCTACCTCAGTGGGGGTATGGGCTGCCACTGGCCATATCTGCACAGCATCAAGCAAAACTGCCCCACTCTCAACTGGCTTCCACAACATCACCAGGACAACTGACAACAAGCTGCCATTCCCCCAGGAGCATCCAGTGGGGATCACAGGTGGGATAGCTTAGGCTGCGTTAGATCACAGGTGGCTAAGAGGCTGGAAATGACCTAGGAATAAGTTCTTGGGGGAGGGAGGTTTATGGTACATCATATTTTGGCCCTGTTGTTGCAGTCTTGCTGATGTGATTCAAGTGCTCTTCAAGGTAGCAGAGAAAAAATAAATAAATAAGTGCACACAATTGCTGTTTTTTTCTGCTGAGTTGCAGGCAAGTTCCCAGTCCTTCTCTGGGCAGAGGTTTGAGTGGGAGATTGTGCTTGGCTGAACCGCCTTGCTCATCCCACAGTACTGAATGGCTTAAATCCCCCATGTTTTACCTCGCACATATGTGGATGTATCACAGGAAGCTCCCTGTCTGAGCAGCTGTCACCAGCTTTGCAGTGACAAGAAGCATGTCTTCAGCTTTCGGCTCTGAAGCTTGTCTCTTTGCAGTGCCTGTCAGTGAAGATGTTCTCTGAATAAATGAACAAAGTGAAATCTTTGAATGAACAGCACATTCTTCCTCAGGTCAACTTTGCAGAGAAAGCAAATATTTCAAGAGAATATGGTTACTGCTCATAGCTCTCTGGAGCCAGCCTGCTAACTCTTCTGCGGCGGCTGTAAATCTGATAGCGGTTCAGTTTAAGGACCTTACAGAGGCTATTTTAGACTGATATAATGTACCATAAATGGGACTGAAAACTGCCATCTATAGCAGACAAAGCCTTTCTCGTTCATTCAAATACTCAAGGAACAGACGATCATGTATATGAGCATTTGGGCTCCATCCAAAAGTGAATGATAGCCGAAAGAGTTTACATGTTCCTTGGCTGGGGAACATGTTGATTTCAGAAGGCAGCAAAGGTAACACAAGGATACTGAGGGACTGCCTGGCTTCGTGTTTATTATTTGAATCTTGCCCTCTGACTCACCTCAGGCTCTCTGCAAAAGGGAACAGTCCCAGAAGGACCGAGGAGCGCTCCCATATACGAAGGTTTAGAAGCAGCTCTAAACCTCCTGGTTTAGAGGCAACAAATCATTTGGTCTCCGAGGGATGGCAGCAAATAGAAGCTGCTCCCACAGCCTCTGGTTGAATTTTAGGGGGTGCCACCTGTCAAACTAAAGAGATACATCAACATATGTAATATACCACTCAGCTTGTTGATGCATTTGTATAAAACCCCATACTGAACCAAGTGACTCCAGAAAGGCTTAGGCAGTGAGATTCATCACTTCTCAATACGGGAAATAGCCATCAGACCATCCTATAACAGTAAAGGTTAAAAGCAAACAAGTACACCCAAATGCACATAATGGCGAGGGGAGTCTGCCTTCAAAGCACGAGACCATCTCTAATTAACAGGGGTCAGGGGAACGTGCCCTGTGGCAGATCCTAACAACACGGTACAGCGGGGCTCCCTGGGAAGCCGCAGTCTTGGCATCGGCCTCATGTGGGCCATAGAATGAGAGGGATCCCTGGTCTGATCTGTCTGGCAGTTTCTGTGCAGAATGGGGCCAATTTGCTGGGAAGCTTCCCACCCCCAAGGAGGGAAGAGGTGGGCCGTGAGTTTAACAAACATTTTGGTATTTGGAAGCTATTCCCAGCTCTCGTTTAACACACAGACTGCATTTCCCATTGCTAACTGGCAGCAAAGAGCTCATCAACATTTAAATAAGAGGCTTGTTAGTGCCAGCGTGAGGCAGGTTTGCATGCCAAGGCTGGCTAAGGTTTCTTGCCAAGGATTTTCTAAGAGAATTTCTCTAGGAAACTCCTTCAAAAGGAAGAATTCATTTCTGGTTAAAGAGAGCAAGGCCTTAATTTGAAGAGGTGCTGAGCTGGTTAAGTCAAATGGATAGTGTGAGAGCTCAAAGCCTATGAAAATCAGACTCTAGATTTTAAATCAATTCAATGAAGAATGGCATGTGGTGTTTTGCAACTGACCATGATTTCTGCAATTCAAAAACTGAACAAAAAAACAAAAGGCTGCGCATGACCTCTTCCACCAGTGCCCCTGGTTTGCTCACTGATGCTATATATGCTAAGGTGAGGCTTGAACTATACCTGCTACCTCAGTACGTGATTATTATTTTCTACACATGGTCAAATGCCCCTAAGTACAGGGAGGAACCTCAGTATTTGGCTGTTTCTAGATCCCAAATGAGTCATACAAATCGTGAACAGTTTTCACTCTGTGACTGCCATTTGAGCTTCCCCATGGAGCTCAAGACCCCATCCTAGAAAGAGGGGCGCAGGTCCCAGAGTCCTGTACTATATGTCACTACAGCATAGTTTATTGCCTTTGCTTGTTCTGTCATATAACAGGAATAATGTCCGCGGTGTTGGAATATGAGCATGGTAATTGGCTTTTGCAGTAATTAAATGCCTCGGTGCCAGCGTTTAATCAGCCGCCAAAGCCGTCTATTGCCTCATATACTGCTGCACCAGGAGCATTACCCCTTAATTAGTTGCTGAAATAGTGATGATTTAGCAGCGTCTTTATATTTATACTTTAAGACAGCAGATCCAGTCCAACATTAACAATATTGCAAGATAAAAAAGCAGCCCATTCTGCTATGCAGGGATATTTGGCCTTACGTATTTGTCCTTACCTTGTGGAAAATAGAGTCATGTGCATCTCCCGATGACACCGTGCTGGAGGTGCAGACAGCACACTGCAAGCAGTTGCTATGGCTCTGCTCCGCTCCAGCACTGACCTTGTGTACATTAACTAGCTTCAGTATCGATAAAACATTGCCTTTGTCCCAGAACTGTCAGCACCAAAGAGGTGTAGGCTTCCCCTGCTTTGACTCACCATTACCAGCAACATCTGGATTTGGTCCAGCAGACCAGGAGCAGAGAGCCCCTACGGTTTCCTCCCTATGCTCCTTGGGAAGGGAGCCTCTCTGTCACTGGGGGAACAGCACTTTGTCTTGCACAGTCCTGGCAGGTTGTGATGGGTCACAGTGACAGCAGTAACTCTGCCTGATCCCAACTCCTCTTCCCCCCTTTCCCTGCCTGTTTTTGCAGTGGAGGTGGTGCTGTGCTGTAACAGCAACTGGCTGTTTTCTGAGGAACTGATGGTGGTGAAAGAGCCTGCTCATTGCATCCACCCGTCCACTTCAATTGCAGCTGTCTGAAAGCAAGAAGTCTGGCTCATGTTGGTCTTTTGCCAGCAAGAAAGGCATCTCCAGTTTACCCCACTACGAGGAGATGTCTAAGAGACATCGGAGGAATGGCCCATTTGTCACAGAGGGAGCCCTACACTCGCACTGGACTCTTCCAGACTATTAGAGATAACAGACATGAACTCAGCCAGAATGGCAATACTGCTTGCTAAGACACTCACAATAGACATATTCCCTTGGCTTTCCAAGTTTCATCCTGCTTTTGAAACCCTGAGACGTTTACAGAGCCCCTGCAGCCTCTTCAGAATTCACTACGAAGGAGAAGTCATCCTTGCTCAGTAATGAAACTCCATTTGTGACACGGAGGAAGTCATAGAGCACGTCAGCCTAGATATCCTTGAGATAAACATACAAGGCCCATCTTTGTTTAAATCCAGGTGGTTAAATCTGCAATAGTTGGAAACAGGCATTGTGTTGAGAAAAAGCAGCTGTAGGATTGCTTCATCATTTGACCAGAATATCACGAACAAGAGCAATATGTGGGGCTGCCAAATAGTCCGCACCACCTTCATCCTGCCCTGGACCCCTCGTACAGCCGGCCTTGGCACCTGGGCTTTAGATATGCTTCACTCCCAAGGCTTTCTTTGTCTTCAAAGGATTCTCTTTGCCTTTGATTGCAAGAAAAGCAGTGCCAAACGATCAAATTAATAGCTCTCCACCCTTGGCCTTCGCCTCTGGCCCTTGGCCTACTAGTGCATTTTGATTTGTGTGTGGACAACGCATCCCTGGAACTTTTCCATCCTAACAAGTTTAGGAAAAAATACCTTGTGCTATAAAGGAAGTAATAATATTGAGTTTGAAAAAGCTATACAGTAGTTTGAACTGACTTAAAAGCCTACAACATCACGCTCCCTTTACTGCCAAGACAAAGCCTTTTGGACTCCTGTGTCCTGTAGGAACAGCCTGCAGGCTTCGTCCCTTCCTGAGGGAGAACACAGGCCCTTCCTAAGGTCCCCTGGGAGCTGGGAGTGATGCTGCTGCTGCTTCCAGAGCTAACAAAGTATTCCCTGACAAAACATAATACTAAACAAGGCCTTCATGTGCACTGGAGGTAGGAAAGGAAGCACGAGATTTAATTTGCAACCAAGAATATTTAGCCTGGACGTGAAGAAAAGCTGTCCAGTGGTGAAGATAATGCAGCTATGGAACAGGCTGCTAAAGGAGGCTGTGGGATCTTCAGTTGCGGATGTCTTGAAGGAGACACTAAATTTTGTCAGGAGCGACAAAGGGGAATGGATTCAGTTGCATTGTATGTCTTGGGATCTTTCTACAACTCTATGAAAAACTGCCTTAAGAAAAGTACTTTTTCTGATATGAATGGAGGACTCACCTCAGTTGACCCTTAAAGACAGAACAACACAGTCCCTTCCACAGAGAGACTGATCAAACCCCAGACTCTCACTCAAAGGAAGAATGGTAGAACTCCTCCACAAGCTACAGAAGGCTGCAGGGCCGCCTCAGACATCAAATTCTTGGCTGCTGGAGTTCATCGAGACAAATCCCACCTGAAGATAGCCCTGTACAGGAAAAGAATTTCTGAGAGCAAATGGGCTTTATAAAAAGGTGCAGGAATAGAGAGTGGAGAGACACAGCAGCTAAAAGCAGGTTGCAGATATTTAGTGGGTAAGAATCAGCTTACCTGGAGACACGCTGGATTCCCCATTGCCTGAAATGTTTTGGTCATGGAAAGCGTTTGGTGAGGGTTTGGTGCTGTGCCAGATGCTTTCATTGGAGATGCGAAGGTCAAGCTCTGTGATGAGCAGCAGAGTTTTTGAAGCAGAATGGGCAGGACCAGAAACAATTCAAGTTATTTGTTGCAGCGATGGCCTAGAAACAACATCCTTTACAGAGATACACATTGCAAGCCATGCTTTTTTGCACCCAACAGTGAACGAGGCTCTCGGATTAAGTATGTTAAGGAGCTACACAGTGAGTTTTTGAATGCAAAAGAGAGAGAGATGGAAGATATGAAGCATAATTGCAGGTGGAGTTTGAGAGAAAGTAAATACCATTCGACTTGAAAAAATAATTTCACACGCTAGCAAACAAAAATGAAATTTATAAGGATTTTATTGGATTGGTAAAATGTAATAAAAAAGCATTTGTGATACTTCTTCTGCAAAGAAAAAAAGGCATCTGGCGATTTTGCATATTTATTTTCCCTTACAAAACATTAGAAAAGCATAACTGATAAAATAAGGATAACAACTGAAAGAGCAGAGCAAAGAGGAAAATACATCTCAATATAATTGGATAATGCATAATAAAAATACAGAAAACACATGCTTAAAACAGCTTTCATTCTCTTACAGTAAAAAGTCATTTTATGTGTTGAATAAAAAATATACGCTGGTTGCTCTGAAAATTGCAGTTTAGAAGAGGTAACTAGCTGAGAACAAAATATATATATCTATATATATTTATAAATATAGAAAATGTGTATATGCTGTATCTGTCCTCAGAACAAACTGGAATACATGGTTTTCAATTCATGCACACAAGTTACCAGAGGAAAAACTTCATATATTACCTAGCAGACAGATCCTGTAAGGTGCTGATTGCATTTCCTGAGTGCCCTCAAAGCCCTGCTGAAGTAGTCAGTGAAGGAGACGAGTGGCCTGAAGGGTTCAGTGAGAAGGGAGGGTGCTCAGCATCTTATAGGATATGCACTCAGCAACCTGCAGGATTTGTGAAAACTCCCACGACAGGATTGGGCCCCTCATGGGCTAGGGGGGATGCTTGTGCCCAGCAAGGGGGAAAAAACTCTGTTTCCCCTGTGCTCTGACAGATAGGAGACCAGTCCTAAAAGCTCAAGTAATGTTACTTCATTAGGGTCTGAGGGCATGGAGTTTGCAGCAAGAAGGCACCCCTCACGTCTAGGGAATGTCCCTCTCTTGCCCAGATACCCAGGCTAGTGATTCACATTTCAAAGGAAGATGCTTCCCATACCT